CCTTAAGATAAGATGGCAGATGGGCATTGGGGTGGGATATCCTAACTCCTGATCCTGTGTGGGCAAGAGAAAAATAATTGAGGAAACAACTGATTTCATAGCCTCCATGACAAATATCAATACAAGAGAGCTTTGTTGGAAGAATATAAATGTTTCTTGTTTTAAAAAGACCAGAAGCTATACAAAGAGGACAGAGGATGAAAGGATAGAATCTGGCAGTGAATGAGGATTCTGGAGAGCATACCCTTCCATCCAGGGGAAATGCCTGGATGCAAAATATGAGGCTGTACTTAATGTCTAGAGATGAGTTGGCTCAACCATGACTGCCCAGACCAAGTTGTCATTGATTTTCTAACCCCAATTCAGAATAGTTTGGAGTCTATTAGTTGATCTTCAGCAAAGAACTACTGTTGCTATTGTTGTTAGGTGTTGGTGAGTTGGCTCTGACTCACTATAATGGAATTAAATGTTGCCCAGTCCTGCATCATTCTCACAATCATTACTATGTTTAAGCCCATTGTTGCAGCCAATGTGTCAATCTATTTCATTGAGGCTCTTCCTCTTTTTCACTGACCATCTATTTTATCATGAATGTTGTCCTTCTTCAGAGATTTGTACTACCCTGTAACATGTTCCAAGTAAGTAAGACAAAGTCTCCCTATCCTCACTTTCAAGAAGTATTCTGGCTTTAGTTCTTCCAACCTAGATTTGTTCATGCTTCTGGAACCCATGGTATATTCAATTTTCTTTGCCAACACCACAATTTGTATGTGTCAATTCTACTTCAGTCCTCCATTATCAAAGTCCACTTTCACATATATATGAGATAATTGAAAAAACCATAGCTTGGGTAGGGTGTTGCAACAAAAATAATTGGTTGATGTTCATTTATTCAGGAGGTAGTGCACTATCAAGAACCAATGGTACTGAAGGAAGAAGTTCAAACTTAACTGAAGCTCCAGAAATACATTTTTTTTTTTTGTATATTCATACATCTATTTATGTTGTAGTGTCATAGCATTAGATAACATCCCCTAAGTGAAATAATACTTACATTACAGATTTGGTATTTAGGAATTAGTCATAATAGCTGAAAATTTCCTAGCCTAGAGCTTAGTGCTTGTTGTTGTTAGGTGACATCGAGTTGGTTCTGACTCATGGTGACTCTATGTACAACAAAACAAAATAATGCCTAGTCTTGTGTCATGCTCAACATTGTTGCCATACTTGACACCATTATCGCAGCACTGTGCCAATCTATCTCATTAAGTGTCTTCCCCTTTTACACTGACCTTCTACATTACCAAACATAATATCCTTCTCCAGGGACTGGCCTTTTCTGAAACATGACTAAAATATGAGAGACAAAGTCTGGCCATTCTTGCTTCTAAGGAGCGTTCAATCTGTATTTCCTCCAAAACAGATTTGTTTGTTCTAGCAGTCTGTGGTGCATTTGATATTCTTCACCAACACCAAAATTCAAATGCATCAATTCTTCTGCAGTCTTCTCGCTCATTGTCCAGCACTCACATGCATATGAGGCTATTGAAAATAGCTTGGTTCAGGTGCACATTAGTCTTCAAAGAGACATCTTTGCTTTTTAACACTTTAAAGAGATCTTTCAAAGGAGATGTGCCCAGTAAAATACATTGTCTGATTTCTCGACAGCTGCTTCTATGGATGTTGATTGTTTTTGATCTTCATCAATAAGTAATCCAAGTCTTCCTCACTTTCAGTATCCAAGATTGTGTTATCTGCATATTGCAGGTTGTTAATGAGTCTTCCTCTAATTCTGGTGCCACATTTTTCTTCATACAGTTCAGCTGCTCAGATTATCTGCTCAGCACACAATTGAATCAGTATGCTGAAAGAACACAGCCTTGACATATACCTTTCCCGATTTTAAACCATGCAACATCCCCTAGTTCTGTTCAAATTACTGCCTCTCTTAATCTATGCACATGGTCCTCATGAGCACAATTTAGTGCTAAATTTCCCAGTATGTGCAGTGTTATCCATAATTTGTTAAGATCCACACAGTCAAGTTTCTACATAGTCAATAAAACATAGCCAAACAACTTTCTGGTATTCTTTGCTTTCAGCCAAGAGCCATCTGACATCAGAAATGATATCCCTGTTCCACACCCTCTTCTGAATCTGGCTTGACTATCTGGCAACTCCCTGTTGATATATGCTACAACTGTTTTTTTAAATTATCTTCAGCAAAATTTTACTTGTATGTTATATTAATGATATTGTTAGATAATTCCTACATTCTGATGGATCAGCTTTCTTTGGAATGGGCATAAATGTGGATCTCTTCCAATTGGTAGACCAGGTGGTTGTCTTGTAAATTACTTGGCATAAACAAATGAACACTGTATCCATTTGTTGACATATCTCAATGGATATTCTGTCAATACCTGGAGCCTTGCCTTTCACTAATCACTTAAGGGCAGCTTAGACTTCTTCCTTTAATACCATCTGTTCTTGATCATATGATATCTCCTAAAATGGTTGAATGTTAACCAATTCTTTTTGATACAATGATTTTGTGTATTCCTTCCATCTTTTTTTGAAGCTTCCTGCATCATTCAATATTTTGTCCTTAGAATCCTTCAATATTACAACTCAAAGATTAAATGTTTTCTTCAGATCTTTCAGCTTGACAAATGCCAAGCATTTCTTCCCTTTTCATTTTCTAACTTCAAGTCTTTGCACATTTCATTATAATATTTTATTTTGTCTTCTTGGGTTGTCCTTTGAAATTTTCTGTTCAGCTCTTTTCTGTCATCATTTTCTTCCATTTGCTTTAGTTGCTTTCCATTCAAGAGCAAATCTCAGAATCTCTTCTGACGTCCATGCTGGTCTTTTCTTTCTTTCTTATCTTTTTAACAAACTTTTGCTTTCTTCATATATGATGTCCTTGATATCATCCCACAGCTCCTCTGGTATGTGTTCGCTGGTGTTCGAGACATCAAATCTATTCTTCAGATTGTCTCTAATATTTGTTTGTCCTGTCCTGTGTTCATGATTTCATTTACTAAGCTCTCTATGCCTCATTTATGTTATCTGCAATAATAGTGAACCATACTTAGTACTGAATAGATGTGAAATAAACTGGGGCTACAACATCACTTTATTTCTGTCTTCCCAACTATTTTTCAACTATAAGGACTATATATGGAATTCTACAGCTCTTCACTCAGTGCTATTGGATACACATTACTGAAGTAACAAGTCAACTTTGACCATTTCTCTTACATTCATACCTGTTTCAGCATGTTCAATACCATACACATAAACTACCATTTAGATAGTATTAAAATATTGGATTACTGGTGATATAAACTATATAACTCTCACTGCCATCAAGTCAATTCCAACTCATAGAGACCTCTCCTTGGGTTTCCAAGACAGTATCTCTATGGAAGTATATTGCCCAGTCTTCCTGCTGAGGAGTGGCTGAAGCGTTTGAACCACCGGCCTTCTGGTTAGCAGTCAAATGCCTTAGGCACTATGTCACCAGAGCTCCTATATATAGATGGCACATAAACTGCTTTAATAATTATCTCTTAGTGAAATTGGTTATCTTAATAACATACTTTAAATTAAAAACAGAATAGTTAAAATAGTCGAGTTAAAAAAAATCTTCTTTGAAGTGAAAGAAGTACTGAGAAGACCGGGATGAATTTTCCTCTTTGGAAACCGAAGTCAAGTTGAACAAAATGCAATTGTATTTATTCATTAAACACCTCTAGTCAAATTATGAAAAATTGATCAATGTTATCACATAGAAAATTTCAGTATTTTGTTAGAAGGTCAGTGACCCTACTACCCCTTTATGTTTAGTGGGAAATGTTTTTGTTTCTAGGAGAAAGAGCTATTTTCAGTGGGAAATTAATTGTCTTTTCCAAAATAACCATTCTCAAAATTGACATCTTTCTCTTGTCAGATAACACCTTTTGCAAAAATAAAATAAAATAAAATAGTGAATATAGTCACTGAATCTCTGAGTTTTAATATTAAAACACTTTAGTTTATTTTGCCTTATATTTTAATTTAGCTGTTCATATTTCCCAGGACACACCTTGCCCCATTACAAACCTCATGTTGGCCCAAGCATCTTCATGCTTCTGAAGGCCAGCTGTTAAATCTCTAGCAAGTATTCTCATGCAGTACCTTAGAAGGAAAGTTTCATAATGGATGATTTCTTGATAATAATAATGCTTATAAATCAGTTATCAAATACAGCATCCCCAAAATCAGTAAATAACTTAAGCAATTTCTTTTTTTCTACTTAAGTTTGTCTGTCAATTACAAATCACTCCAAGACTTTAACTTCCCCCATTCTTTACCTCCTTATTCAAACTGGAAAATGCTGGGAAGGGGATGGTTTTGAGATGGGGGTCAGGGGCAGGCATGATCAGGATGCTGACAGTATGTCTGGGAAGAAAGGACATGTATATTAACTGACCCCTGCCCAATTTCAATTATCTGAGACTCTTCATTGACAGCAGAAAATCTAAAAAAGTGTGCTGATTCAGTGCTGTTGCAGATCACCTAAGTGAGGCATAAGAAGCTTAGTAAATGAAACCATGAACACAGTGCAGGTTTGAATAAATGGCAAAAGCTCAAAGATGTCAGTCTGCACTTTAATATTTACAAAACACTTGGAGTGTCTAACCCTATATATTTCAGAGAAGAAATTTAAAATACTTTTTTGCTAAAAGTGGTTCTTAGAATGCTTTTAAATAGAAGAAGTCCTTTTATTGACTGAGCAAAGTGTTTAGGTTCTATAAGTCAGTTCCCCAAGAAACATTCTTTCTTCTATCTTTTTGTACTGAGATTTCTCACTTAGACTTCTCCTCAGTGTATCCCTTGCATCTGCAATAAGGCCATCTCTTGTTCTAAGTCTGCTTTTTATAGGATAATTTTTCGATTTACCACAAATCCACAAGGACTTCAAAAAAGAAATCCAGAGTCTGCAGACAACCCACCATAAACATGGTCCAGGTCTCCAATAGCGAAAACAGCCATGGTGCGTCTTGGGGAAACAACTTGGGACCTTTTCAGGCAGCACTGGAGGCAGCAGAGCACAGCTCCACAGAGAAGAGCCAGCAGGAAAATCAGCAGCAAGAACCTGAGGCCAAAAGAAGAAAGGAAGGAGCTCAGTGGGGTGTGGCACCAGGGAAAGTTAAGATTTCCAGTTACTTCCCTGATAGGAGGCAAAGACTTAGCTAGACTGGCTATAAATAATCTAGGATGCTGAGTTCCTGAGGGGTCCTTTTCCTCCACTATCCATACACACCCACTGGTCCTAGGATTTCTCTAGGCAATCTACTTCCATAGTGATACCGCCTTGGAAACCCAAGGAGGTATCGCTATGAGTCTGAAACGACTCGATGGCAAATAACAACAAAGTGGGTTGATATTGTTGCCTTTGAATATTGGAGCGTTTTCAAATGAGCAGTTGCTCAATTTTAAAACTTATTCATGCATTCTTCCTTTGAGTCAGACATCATCCTTCCATTTAACTAGTATCTGAGCACCTAAAAAGATTTTAGATGTTGGTGATAAGCCCAGGTTTGTGCCTTTGAGGAGCTTATAACGTATAGCTTAGAAAATACAAAATTCAAGATATAGGAGGTTAAAACAACTGTCTTAAAATTCTGAAGAACTGTCTCATAAAGGAGGCAGCAGATTTATTTCGAATGGCTTTTAAGTTTAGCACTAAACAGAGTCATTTAGGGAAATTTCAGAAGAAAGAAGAAATGTTTTACATTTATATACCCAACTTTGTAATAAATTCTTGTTCTGAAAGCAGTGACTTCACTGTCACAGGAAGTGTTTAAGTAAACATTGTTCAAAGGAGATGCTTCTGTAGATATTGATTTACATGGCCCTGAAGATTTCTTTAAGCTGTATGATTTAATGCACCATCTCAAATTATTTCAGAAAATGAGTGGGATCATAATCTTATATGTTTGTATATCTTATAAAGTGTTTAAAAAGCAAGTGGGGGTGTTCTTACCAGATGTACCAACCATTAGGGTGTTGATTATTATAATTTATGCACCTGGTGATAAAGGAAGAGCAGTTAATACTGGATCTCTGGATGGGCAAAGCTGATTTCTTTAAGATCAATAAATTTTTACTTATCCCGTATGTTTACCCAGAAGAATAACTTATTCACTGCACTCCTCTCCAATGTAATTAACTACATGGTTACCAAATGCCCACTCCTTTCAAGTTACTGAGAATACAAATGTGGCATTAGCAGACATGTAAACAGATAATTACTGTCAAAAATTAGATTTTAAAGTTACAAATACTATTGTGTATTGACAACAGTATGACTAACTTTTCAGGGCCACCATGGTATATGTGGAGTCCTTGGGCAAACACCTTTGGGATCACTTATTTCTCCCTTAGAATTTTACACAGTGGAAAACTGAGACCTAAGGGGTCTCAATAAAGTGATCACTGGTTGGCCAAGAAACTTACACTAGAATGTGGCTTTTCTGACTCCGGGTGCTTCCCTCACCCACACTATTATTTCCATATCTTTCTCCAATTTTAAAATTAAAATATTAAATTTTTGAGATCTGAAACAGAAAATAAATCAGTATCTAATTTGTATCGATATTTCTAGTACTCAGATTTCAGATGCAAGAGCTTAGTAGGTTGTTATGTTATTAGGTGCCACTGAGTTGGCCCCAATTAATTGCAATTCTATCTGCAAAAGAATGAAACACTGTCTGGTCCTGGGCTGTCCTCACAATCCTTGCTCTTCTTGAGCGCATCATTGCAGCTGCTGAGTGAGTCAATCTTGTTGAAGGGCTTCCCCTATTTCACTGACTTTACTAAGGGTGGTATCCTTCTCTTGGGACTGGTCCTTTCCAACATGTCTAAAGTAGGTGAGATGAAATCTGGTCATTCTCACTTCCAAGGAGCACTCAGGCTACACTTCTTCCAAAACAAATTTGGAAGTCCATAATATTTCCATTATTCTTTGCCAACACCACAATTCAAAGGCATCAATTCTTCTTTGGTCTTCCTTATTCATTGTCCAACACGTACATGTATATGAGGAGATTGAAACAACCATGGTTTGGGTTAGGTGCACTTTAGTCTTCAAAGAGATATCTTTGCTCTTTAACACTTTAAAGAGGTCTTTTGCAGCAGATTTGCCCAGTGAAATACATCTGATTTCTTGACTGCTGCTTCCTTGGGTGTTGATTGTGGGTCTAAGTAAAATGAAATCTTTGACAACTTTCAATCTTTTCTCCATTTATCATGATGATGCTTATCTGTCCAGAAGTGAGGATTTTTGTGTTCTTTATGTCAAGATGTAATCCATACTGAAAGCTGTAGTCTTTGGTCTTCACCAGTAAGTGCTTGAAGTCATTTCAATTTCACCAAGCAAAGTTGTATTGTCTGCAGATTGCAGGTTGTTAATGAGTCTCCAATCCTGATTCCATACTCTTCTTCCATAGTCCAGCTTCTAGGATTGTTCACTCGGCATCCTTATTGAACAAGTACGGTGAATGGCTACAACCCTGACAAAATCCTTCCTTATTTTAAACAATTCGATATCCCCTTGTTCTATTTAAAAAACTGCCTGTTGGTCTATGTACAGGTTCCTCATGAGCACATTAAGTATTCTGGAATTTCTATTCTTCTCAATGTTATCCATAATTTCTTATGATCCACACAGTTGAATGCCTTTTCATAGTCAATAGAACTCAGATACACACCTTTCTGATATTCTTTGCTTTCAGAAAGATCCATCTGACATCAGCAATGATATCCCTCATTCCTTATCCTCTGCTGAATCTAGCTTGAATGTTGGAAGTTCTCTGTCAATGTTCTGCTACAATTGTTTTTGAATTATCTTCAGCAAAATTTTACTCATATGTGATACTAATGATATTTTTCAATAAATTCCATATTCTGTTGGATCACTTTTCCTTGGAATAGGAGGGAATATTTATCTCTGCCAGTCAGTTGTTCAGGTAGCTGTCTTCCAAATTTCTTGGCATAAATGAATAAGCACCTCCAGTGCAGCAACCATCAAGATAGAATAAACATTTTGATAGTTATTCTATCCATTCCTGGAGCCTTGTATTTTTGCCATTTCCTTTAGTGCAGCTTGGACTTCTCCCTTCAATACTTTTGTTTTTTGATCATATGCTATCTCCTGAAATGTCTGAACATTGGCCAATTCTTTTTGGTACAGTGACTCTGTATATTCCTTCCATCTTCTTTTGATGCTTGCTTCATCATTCAGTATTTTGCCCACAGAATCCTTCAATATTTTAGTTCAAGGGTTGAAGTTTTTCTTCAGTTCTGTCAGCTTGAGAAATGTCAAGCGTGTTCATTCCTTTTGGTTTTCTAATGACAAGTCTCTGCATATTTCATTATAATACTTAATTTTGCCTTCTTGAGGTGCCCTTTCAAATATTCTGTTCAGCTGTTTTATTTCATCATTTCTGGCATTCATTTTAGTTACTTTACATTCAAAGACAAGTTTCAGAGTCTCTTCTAACACTCATGTTGGTCTTTTCTTCCTTTTGTCTCTTTTAAATGACCTTTTGCTTTTTTCATGTATGATGTTCTTGATGTCATCCAACCACACATCTGGTCTTCAGGCATTGGCGTTCAATGTGTCAAATCTATTCTTCAGATGGTCTCTAAATTCAGGTGAGATATGATCAAGGTCACATTTTTTGGCCTTTATGGACTTATTTTAATTTTCTTTAGCTTCAGTATGAACTTGCATATAACCAATTGATAGTCTGTTCCACTTATCTCCTGGCCTTGTTTTGACTGATGATATTGAGCTTCCCCATTGCCTCTTTCCACAGATGTAGTTGTTCTGATTTCTGTGTATCTATTTGGTAAGGTCCACATGTACAGCTGCAGTTTATGTTGTTGGCAAAAGGTATTTGCAATGAATAAGTCATTGGTGTTTCAAAATTATATAATGTGATCTCTGGAGTCATTTCTATCACCAAGTCATTTTCTTTATTTCCAACTTTCACATTCCAGTCACCAATAATGACCAATACATCTTGATTTCAGACCACAGAAGTTGGTAAAAAAAAGTCTTCAATTTCATCATCTTTGGCTTTAATGGTTCATGGGTAAATTTGAATGATAGTCATATTAGCTGGTTTTCCTTATAAAAAGTCCCAAACCCAAACTCACTGCCATTGAGTTGATTCTAATTCATAGTGACCCCCATTCAGTTTCCAAGGCTGTAAATCTTTAAGGAAGCAAATTGCTCTACCTTCTTACATGGAGAGGCTGGTGGGTTTGGACCACCAACCTTTTGGTTAGCAGCCAAATGTGTTAACCACTCCACTTTCTGAGCTCCTTTTTCTCTTTGTAGGTGTATGGATATTATCGTATCACTAACAGCATTATACCTCAGGATAGATTCTGAAATGTTCATTTGGGTGATGAAAGTGTCCCCTTTCTATGTACTCTTCAGGCAAGTTGCTGTTATTTTCTGTTTCCTCATTTGCAAAGGTCATTTGGATTAGATATCTGTGTCAGTTATCTCATGCAGCTATAACAGAAATACCACAAGTATATGGCTTAACAACCAGGGATTTATTCTCTTAAAGTTTAGGAGGCTGCATTCCAAGTTTCAGGTCTAAGGGCTGGGTGAAGGTCCCTTGACCTTGGGTTTCACCTCTGCCTCTTGCTTCCAGCCCACTGGAGCTGGAGGTGTCTCTTAACTGAGGCAGCTGCTGACTGCTGAGGCTGACAAACCCAAAGTCGACAAATAAAATGGCACAGTCCCAAGATTATCAAGCAACATGGCAGCCACTAATTCAAGTCCAGAAACTGTCTCAAGATCAGCAGACAACATGCCAGGCCACTCACTGATGACTCTGTCAAAGATAGGATCCAAATGTACCAAGAAGCTCAGAGACTTTTTTCAAAGTATCTTTTTACATACTGGAAGCATATGGCATCCCAAAGACAGCTACTCAGCTGCTCACAGTAGAACCTACCATGGAGTTGATTACCAGTCCCATAATGGAGAATAATTCCATTCAGCCTCCCAGCCACTAAAAAATAGACCTAGCCAAGTTGACACATAACCTTAACTACCACAAGGGATTTATGGATCCCTTCAACAGCAAACTATTGTGTTTGTGTTATTCTCATGTAGTAACTTAGTAAAAGATAAATATTCTTTCATATTCAGGTAACATATTTTCACAGGCTATCAAAGAACTCATTTTGAATTGAAAATCTCTTAAATAAATATAGGTAGAGAAAGATAATTTTACAGGTGTTATCTCACTAACACCTTTTTATAATGGCAAAAGCATTGACTTTTTTTTTTTTTTTTTTTTTGCACAGACCAAAACCAAAACCAAACTCATTGCCATGGAGTCGATTCCAACTCATACCAAATCTATTGGGTTCCCGTGGCAGTAAATCTTTATGGAAGTGGATCACCCCATCTTCCTTCTGTGAAGTGGCTGGTATAGTTGAATCATCAAACTTCTGGTTAGCAGAAGGTTGCCTTATGCACTGCACCGCCAGAGGTCCTTTTTGGCACAGTAGTAGCTAAATCACTCAGCTGCTAGCCAAAAGGTCAACAGTTGGAACCAACAGCTCCATGGGAGAAAGATATGATAGTCTGCTTCAATAAAGGTTTATAACCTTGGAAACCATATGCTTCTTTGAATCTTATTTGAAATGGTTTCTTGTTTTCATTCAAAAGCAATGTTATTAAATAATGACAAATATAACAAACACTTTGGTGCAAAATGTATCAGTATCAATCATCTGTTAATTCGGTACTGCCTATCTCTGGGTCTCAATTCCTTACCTGAGAAGGAGATCAGTAGCCTCAGTGGCTCTAAATTCAGCCTATACATTTCCTCAACACCATATTTTCCTACTATTACAGGTTGATGGGATAATTGGATTCAACGTTTCAGATCCTTTCTAGGTATGATTTTTTAAAAATTCTGTTATTTTTGGCTATAGGCAGAAAATGAGGAGGCAAGATGAGGGCAGCCATGATACTCAGGGCCAGGTAAGCAAACAAACTCTCAAAAACCCCATTATGTCACAAGAATATACAACAACAACAACAACGCAGGTTCAAAAGTCACACAAAGAAACCATAATAGCTAGCCATGCAAAAGCTGAAAGGGTAGCATACACTTAACATGTAGATTAACAGTGAAATGATCCATCAGAAATAAGTGAGTCATTCCAGAGCCAAGTAAAGCACCCCACCTAATGTGGTTTCTTACTCTGAAGCCCATGCCCAGAGATCCTGGCCTTGAGAAATAGGCGCTGATGATTGAAAATAGCTGGCTGGTAGTGAGGGCTGCACCCAGGAGAAGATAGTCCTTGGCAGAGGTGTTTTTCTGACACTTGCACTAAGTCACAGTGCATTCCAGTTGTCATTAATCATCATCAGCATTATTAATGACATTGTTTCCCCGCCTCTTGAATAGAATCCTGAGAGCCATTAAGTCTACAGTACAAGAAGAACTGAGGAAACTGAGTGAATGATTCACATATTTCATATCCAAACTGCTTTGTTTGATATGCATATATAATAAAGGTTAGAATTTTTGGTTAGTTTGCTTGTATTTGAATTATCCAGAAAACTGCCTCCTGTTGTCACCATGACTTATAGGTGTGGAAGCAGCAGTAGATAACTTTATGATTCTTTCATGAACTTAAAGTACCCTTGAAACTTGAAGGAGAGAAATGCTGTGAGCAAAAATAGTTAGAGATCACGAGGCCCCTTATTTATTTAACAAAGCTGATCATAATGAAAATGCATCTTTTCCATTTTTAGAAAAATTGATCCATTTGCATTTTAAAACTATTTACCTTAATTTTTTTTTTCTTGCATGATTACAATGATCATTTGAAGCTCATTTGGAGCTTCTCCTCTGATTGAGCCACTTTACTGTTTTTGAATTTTTAAAATGCTAAATAAAAACATGGAGTCGCTTGCTATTTACTTACGTTTCATTTTCTTCACATGATGGGTCCGAGAGCACCAACTGAAACACATGTTTAGAACAATAAAATCCAAACATCTCATCAGTCTAATCCTTTAATATAAACAGTGCCTAGAGACAATGTGGATTTCTATCATTTCGTTTGTATTTTTTTAATTAAAAGCTCTGGAGCAGAGTCTATTGTCGGTGAGCAGAATTTTAATTGAAAAAATCTCAAGGTAGATTTTCAAGCTCAGCAGTGACAGAAGTTATACAAAGTGAACCAGATTCCTATCCTACATACCACTCTAGATGAATTTGAAAATGCTTTTGTTTTTTCTATAGCCAGATTTTGCTTGTTCTACAGGGCTTTGGTATACATTCCCTTTTTGTTTGTTTGTTTCTTTGTTCATACATTTTAGCTCATCTAAAGGAAGGAGATTCATTATCTGTGAGTATTATTTTTATGCAGAGAATAATTCCCTTATGGAGGAACAGAAGTCAATTCTGTTAGCATTAATGGGTATAAATGCATGAAGGGGTTACTTAAACTGGTTTTAACACAAAGGTCTAGTTAAGATCAAACGGCAATCCTGTTGAGATTAAAATTCCTTTTTTTT